ATGTTCATTGTATGGACTTTATTTCTATTTCTAGAATATTAGTCATTGCATATTATGTCTACAGCATTCTGAGGCCATCAGGTGTGCCTCAAATGGAAAGGTGCAGTCCCCTCGCACCTTTTGTGCCTTATATTAGTGTGTGCCTGTGCTTTGCCCTTGTGCATTGCCTCTTGCCTACAAGACCCCTTAAGTGTCTAGGTGTGCCTAGTGCATTTAAATCACTATGTGACAACATGATGAAAATTTTGCACAAGCAAGTTTTCTGCATAACTTTGTAATGAAGTTGTTCATCATCCTAAGGCTTAACTGATTACTTTCCTGAACAGTAAATGGGGATGGAATAGTATTTCACTCTTGATTGAACCAATTGGAATGTGGCTATGAGTTCTTGCCCATATTTGATGTATGTTGAACGGTTTTTCTATAACTTTTTAAGTCTTAAATGTTGGAATGATTGTCCTTCTATTTTAGAACTATCCCTCTTTTTCTCCAACTTATCTTAGAATCTTTTTCAACCTTTGAATTCTTAAATGTTTGGTATTGTAAAATCGAGAAATTCTTGTGTCAGCTTATCTTAGTAATTTAGAATCTTTAGAGCCACTTTGATCATGCTATGTCTATGTCTTTCATTGCTATTCAATTCTCTGTTTTAACACAGTATTCACTTTCCTTTCCTGTATTCAGCAAATAGCATATGGTTGTTTAATATGGGAGGCGTGGTCTAGCACTGCATTAGCCGAAAGACATGAAACATCAAATAGTTTGCAAATTATCTTGGAAGGGCCAGAGGGTTAGTTTGTTATAATGAAGGTTAAGGCAGGTTGGTGTTTAGTTTTAGTTCATCTCATGTGATAAGTAAAGGACATATTGAATGCAGGAATTTAAGATATTGATTGAATGAATAGAATGCTCTAGATAAGGCAACACTTTAACAATGTCTCCGTCAGGGGTAGTGATTTTTCTGATGCATATCTGTTCATGCTATAATCCTGGGTTAACTTTTATTAGCCTTAGGGTGCAACATATAAGCTGTTTTACGTTTCTACATGAAGCTCTTATGTAATATCTGCTGGGTCTGTCGATGCACTGTATAAGCCTCCTAAGCAGCCTTTCACATATTTCACAATTGCCTATGCTAGTATGCTGTCGGTATTGATAACTATGCTAACTAGACTGTCACCTTTAGGTTTAATTGCATGTAATTTCGAACTTTATCACTATTTCTGAATTTGTTAAATTGCTTACTTGCTCCCACAGGATCGTCGATGATGGGTTGTGATTTGTGAGCCATTTTCTAAAGACCTATATACGGATTACAATGGGCCATTTTCAGAGATTCTGTTGAGCAATTGGCTTAATGGAGATGATTTTTGCTTGATGCGTGGAGCTCTAGAAATAAATGTGAAATTTTGTAATTTTCGGTCTCTCCCTTTTTGTTTTGTTTTGTTTTGTTTCATTATTTTCTAAGTTCGTAAATGGAAAGAAACCTTACTTGGTCATGTCAGGGAAAAGTGACATGAGCACTGCTAGGAGCGAGTGCGCTTGAATTCTTGAACACTCTAACTGTTTCCTCAAAAATCCTCAGCCGGTCTTTACCACGTGAGTTGGATGTTAGGCGTGCCACTTGCTTTGTCTAAAAACAAGAAAATAGGATTTTTCAGACGACCCTTTTCCTTTTCAGCGGTCGACCTTCAATAGGATGGCTGGAAAGAACGTCTGTGAAATGAATTGCGCCCCAGACGATGTTGCAAAACAGAGGGTAGAGCTCTGCAAAATGGGTTACTAATTGTCTTGGAAACCTCCAAGGATTTCACAACCAGACAAGTGTAATAAAAGCTACAAATCCTAAAATAAATGCAATATCCTAAAGCAATTAAATTAACATGAAATAAAGAACAGAAAATAACATGCTTAAATTCGCAGATAACAGAAAAAGTAAAATAATAGACAATGATTTCAACTACGCAGTCCATAATAATTAACTAAAACTAAAGAAGAAACTATGAAATGATTAAAGTCTGAAAACTTATAAAATTAAATCTGAAAATTGAAATTAAATAAACTGAATGTCTGGATATTGTGCAGAAATAAAAGAACAAAGGTAAAAAATGTTCATCATATTTACATGAACGAATAACATAACTAAATTCATAAAAAGAAGAAGAACTAACCGAATCAAAAGGGCAGACCTGTTTTGAAGGCTAAGTTGCTTCCAAATGCTTAAAAACTAATCTAAATTGGAATTTGTGGGAGAAAATATGATGAACAAACCTAGGCTAAGGCTATGAACTAATCTGGAAAGTCTGGAAAATCTGGAAACTATTGCTGAAATCTGGAAAATGCAGTCTGAAAGCTGAAAAACATGCTCTGGGCAGTCTGTGTGTGTGCTGGGCAGGCCTGTAACTGATCTGCACTTCTGGTTTTTCTTTGCTTCGGTGCTGTCACCCTCCTTCCATGATTTCCGGTACTGTTCCTCCATGATCTGGTAGTGGGGTTGCAGGTCTGGCAGTTACTTGACAGTTATCCAATTTTTATTTAACCTTATCTTCAACAACCTTAAGGATAACAACCTTATCCAAAACTACCAGATCCCATCTTATCTTCTGCCACCTAGGATCCAACCTCCTTGGAAATCCGTCTGGACCGTTAAATTGTAAGCCAACCCAGTCCAAATCCAACCCATTGATTTTCTTGATAATTGAGCTTTACCTTGACACGTGGCCTTACCTTATTAGTTTATTTTAGGTGTAAATACTAACATTATGACACACCATTTTACTAAAAGAGATACCGAATACTCCGTTAACAGATAACTCAGGAGAAATAAAAAGAGGTTGGAGATCAAAATCTCGTTGTAGATTTTCTATGAAAAAATAATAATGGAAAAGAGGTTGGTTGGAAAAAATCCCCTCAGTGATCAGTAAAAAAGCCTCCAGGACGATGGTGGATTTTTTCCGTTCCCATTTCTTCTAGTAAAAAATAGAGAAATATGATTCTTTCAGTCGCTCTAAGGCACTCGCTTCAGACTCTCTTTCTCATTTTGCCACCTCATACCTGTTTGTAAGGGGTTATAACAAATTATGTGTTTAATTTAAAAAAATTAATAATATTTTTCTCCCACCTCGCTTTTGTCCACCACCATGGCTGGGGCTATTTGCCCAAAATATGAAAGTCGATAAAACCCCAAAATATGACGGAATTTTCCCCTGTCAGTCTATGAGAAATATGAAAAAAAAAAAAAGATGACCATCCATCAACCATCATTCATTTCCCCTGTCCCCTGTCTGTCTTTTTTTTATACTCGCCACCCACTTTTTTTATACTCGCCACTCATGAGAATAGGAACCGTGAGAAACCCAAAATCTATGAGATTCGTTAAAACCCAGGAATCGATAAAACCAGCCTATGGTGGAAAATCACCCCCCTGTCACCCCTGTCAAAAAATCAGAAACCCCTGTCAAAGTCTATGAGAAGAAAACACGTTAAAAAACACGTTAAAAAACACGTTAAAGCCTATGAGAATCGTTAAATGCCACGGTTATGGAATCCAGAATCGTTAAGAATCGTTAAATGTTTATGGAATCGATAAATGGAATCCCTGTCAAAGTCTATGAGAAAGAAAACACGTTAAAAACCACGTTAAAAAACACGTTAAAGCCTAGGAGAATCGTTAAATGCCACGGCGTTAAGAATCGTTAAATGTTTATGGAATCGATAAATGGAAAACACGTTAAAAACCACGTTAAAAAACACGTTAAAAACCACGTTAAAAAACACGTTAAAGCCTATGAGAATCGTTAAATGCCACGGCGTTAAGAATCGTTAAATGTTTATGGAATCGATAAATGGAATCCCTGTCAAAGTCTATGAGAAGAAAACACGTTAAAAAACACGTTAAAGCCTATGAGAATCGTTAAATGTTTATGGAATCGATAAAATCGTTATGGAATCCAGAATCGTTAAAACTGAGATCCCTGTCAAAGTCTATGAGAAGAAACGTTAAAAAACACGTTAAAAAACACGTTAAAGCCTATGAGAATCGTTAAATGTTTATGGAATCGATAAAATCGTTAAATGCCACTGTCTGTCTTTTATAGGGCATGGAGGAGGAAAAAAAAAACTAGAAAAACGATGGACGAGGCCAATCAAGTCCAAGAAGCAGCGGCAGCTCTCATTGCAATGCAAGCAGGAGGGGCACCTGTAGGCAATACCCAACCAGTTGCAGCCCACGCCCCTCAAAGAGCTCCCGATAACATGGCTCCTGTTCGAAGGTCGCCAAGACTTGCTGCAATGCAAGCAGCTGCAACGCTCCTTGCAATGCATGCAGGAGGGGCACCTGTAGGCAATACCCAACCAGTTGCAGCCCACGCCCCTCAAAGAGCTCCCGATAACATGGCTCATGTTCGAAGGTCGCCAAGACTTACTGCAAGGGCTGATAACTTGCCCTCTACTCGAAGGTCGGCAAGACTTGCTGCAAGGGCTGCGAATCATAACTCGAATTCTCAATCATAACTCAAATTTTGAGAATTCTTAGATTTCTTCGAGGTTGAAGAAGCTGCCGGAGTGGAAGTATGTCTTTAGCATGTCTTGCCGTTTTTACTCATTTCTTTGTTGTACTTTTAGTGTAGGTAGAGACTGTGTGCTGTTCCTTTGAGAGTTGTTCTTTGATCATCTATCATCCTCTGTAATCTTCTATTTGTGAAAATACCTGTAATCCTTGGACTTCAGAGTAATATATCAAGGAATATATTGGAAATCTTTCTTCATTTTCTACTAGATTTCCCTTGTATCAAATAGTTATCATCCGTATTTCATTTTATCCGCATCAGAAAGTCTTCAAAAGAACCTGTTCTGCAACAAACCTACCATAGCATCAGAAAACTACCACAGTATCAACAATGCCATTC